CCAAATAATAGACCTCACTTCACTTTCAGCATCGCATGAACCAATAGGTTTTAAATTCACGTTACTATCCTCCTGACTAGAGAGAATCCTGGCCATTCATTTGCAATAACAGATCTTTCAATCATTTTCATTACGCACTAAAATTACAAAGTTCTAATGTGATTGGTAATTTCAATTTGAGTCAGTGAACTCTTTTTGTTCATTTCAGGTCATTGACAATCCTACAACATCTCCAGCAAATGTGAAGCAACTTCTCTTTTGAATATCTATGGTGTTTGCATAAATAAGTCATGGTTCATAAAGCTTCAAATTATTCATGCTCCACAGTGATAATTATCTACTTGTATCATTTAGAATGTATGTATTCTTTAAGAATACTCATTAGGTTAGGCTGTTAAGTGCAGTGCCTAAGTATTTATTTCAAAAGGTTTTATTGATATGATTAAGAAAACAGAAAGTGGAAGTCAGATTGCCTGAATCTGAATCTTGGTTGCTTTATTTATTGTAATAGCATTGGCTATAAGCCTCAGACAAGTTTCTTAACCTCTCTGCCCTTCATTTTCCTCATATGGATATAAATATGTAAGCACTTGGAATGGTGCCTGGTACATAGGAGGGTTACATAAATGTGAACTATTAAAATTTGTCATTTATACCTTCAAAATTTCTTCAGGATCTGGCCACATCTCACCACCTCCACTGCCACTCTGCTAGTCCAAGTCACTTTCATCTCATGCCTATATTATTGTAATAACTGGTCTCCCTGTTTTGGTTCTTTCTCACTGGGTAACTTATTTTAACACAGCAGCCAAAGCAATCCTATAAAAATTCAAATAGAATCATGCCACCCCTCTGCTTAAAACCCTCCAATAACCCCCCACCTTAACCAAGAGTAAAAGCCACAGTCCTTACAAGGGTCTCCATGGCCTCCATTACTGAGTCCCCACTCCAGGTACATCTCTGTCCTCCAGCCACATGGGACTCCTTATGTTCCTCAAACAAGCAAGACTTACTCCTTTCACTGTATGCTTG